AACCTGACAGTTAGATATCTGACAATATTTATACAAGACTATTTTTCCCACTGTTTGTTATACAGGTTTAACCCGACAGTTAGATATCTGACAATGTTTATACGAGACCATTTTTTCCACTGTTTATTATACAGGTTTAACCCGACAGTTAGATATCTGACAATATTTATAAGAGACTGTTTTTCCCACTGTTTGTTATACAGGTTTACCCTAACAGTTAGATATCTGACAATATTTATAAGAGACTGTTTTTCCCACTGTTTGTTATACAGGTTTACCCTAACAGTTAGATATCTGACAATATTTATACGAGACTACTTTTTCACTGTTTGTTATACAGGTTTACCCTAACAGTTAGATATCGTAGTTCTTATTAATTTCTGACTCTGACTGTATTCCTACTTCTACAATTCGGCTAACACATCGATCTTTATAGTAACATTGTGCTTATGAAGTGGTGTGTCACAGCCCCTAAAGGACACATCACTTCCAATGTGTCACAGCCTCTAAAGGACACAGCACTTCCAGTGTGTCACAGCCTCTAAAGATCACAGCAGTTTTAGTGTGTCACAGTCCCTAAAGGACACGGCACTTCTAGTGTGTCACAGCCCCTAAAGAACACAGCACTTCTAGTGTGTCACAGCCTCTAAAGGACACAGCACTTACAGTGTGTCACAGCCCTAAAGATCACAGCACTTCTAGTGTGTCACAGTCCCTAAAGGACACGGCACTTCTAGTGTGTCACAGTCCCTACAGGACACATCACTTCCAGTGCGTCACAGCCTCTAAAGGACACAGCACTTCCAGTGTGTCACAGCCTTTAAAGATCACAGCAGTTTTAGTGTGTCACAGTCCCTAAAGGACACGGCACTTCTAGTGTGTCACGGCCCCTAAAGAACACAGCACTTCTAGTGTGTCACAGTTCCTAAAGGACACAGCATTTCTAGTGTGTCACAGCCCCTAAAGGACACAGCACTTCTAGTGTGTCACAGCCCCTATCGAAGAAGGATATTCATACAGTGAAATTCTTAACCAATGACCAATGGACATAACTCTTTGAAAGCAGAAAAACTCGCAGAACAGAGAGATTGGGATAACAGTGATCCCTGAAATCATACTTAAAGCCAGTCATATTCAAAGTGGTTACGAAAATAACTTCCTACCCAATATGCAATTTCTATAAAGCTGGGAATATCTCCTGGTAGTGTTAACAAGAGTAATAAAAGGGGGATTTGAAATTAACGAAGACTTACAAGTCGAATGTTTACTGACAAACTTCCGGCTACATCTCGATGTCAACAAATCCATTAATACAGCTGTAATGGAGTTTGTTTTAGATGATTAACTAAGACCTTGGAAACTGAACTTCACGTGCAGTAGAGGATCTTTAAAAGTCTATTAAGATGCGTGGTCTAAGATTGACCTCGTTGTCCTATTCACAGGCTTGTTACAGTAGAAATTGTGATGATCACCATTCTGATCAAGATCGATTATGGAGTAAATAGTGCGAGTAAAACCAATTTCATAAAGTGCCATCAACCCTAATACTGTAATCCAATAGTGCTGTTAACCCTAATATTGTAATCCAATAGTGCTGTTAACCCTAATACTGTAATCCAATAGTGCTGTTAACCCTAATACTCTAATACAGTAGTGCTGTTAACCTTAACACTCTAATACAGTAGTGCTGTTAACCCTAATACTGTAATCCAATAGTGCTGTTAACCCTAATACTGTAACCCAATAGTGCCATCAACCCTAATACTGTAATCCAATAGTGCTGTTAACCCAAATACTCTAATACAGTAGTGCAGTTTATTACTTTTTTTTCAGGTCACTTAATCAACTTCCGGCCTCAGGATGGTAATACCTGGACTGAAATTCAGGTGTCTGGTGACAAGAATACACATTCTGTGACAGATCTACAGTGTGGAAAAACCTATCAGTTTCAGGTTACAGCCTTCAATAAAATGGGAAAAAGTGATCCCAGCAGTATTGTTTCTGCTACGACAGACGGTTCAGGTGAGTTAAAAATAAGATCAGGTGTTTATTGTAAGGTTCAGGTAAGTTAAAAATAAGATCAGGTGTTTATTGTAAGGTTCAGGTGAGTTAAAAATAAGATCAGGTGTTTATTGTAAGGTTCAGGTTAGTAGTGACTCTCTTACGTCTGTTTTATAAGACACATCGATGTTTATAGCAGTGACTGTCTTAAGTCTGTTTTATAACACACACTGATGTTTATAGTAGTGACCGTCTTAAGTCTGTTTTATAACAAACGCTGATGTTTATAGTAGTGACTGTCTTAAGTCTGTTTTATAACAAACACTGATGTTTATAGTAGTGACTGTCTTACGTCTGTTTTATAACACACACTGATGTTTATAGTAGTGACTGTCTTAAGTCTGTTTTATAACAAACACTGATGTTTATAGTAGTGACTGTCTTAAGTCTGTTTTATATGCCACATTGATATTATGTTCGTGACTGTCTTATGTCTGTTTTATATGCCACATTGACTAACTGTTCCCTACACCTGTACGACCTCAATATGAATAAGAAATAATACAACCTTCACTAAAATGTGTAGTGTTCCATGTTGCAAGTTACAACCTTCATCAAAATATGTAGTGTTCCATGTTGCAAGTTACAACCTTCATCAAAATGTTTAGTGTTCCATGTTGCAACCTTCACTAAAATATGTGGTGTTCCATGTTGCAAGTTGCAACCTTCATTCAAATGTGTAGTGTTCCATGTTGCAAGTTATAACCTTCACTAAAATGTGTAGTGTTCCATGTTGCAAGTTACAACCTTCATTAAAACGTGTAGTGTTCCATGTTGCAAGTTACAACCTCCATTAAAATGTGTAGTGTTCCATGTTGCAAGTTACAACCTTCATTCAAATGTGTAGTGTTCCATGTTGCAAGTTACAACCTTCATTCAAATGTGTAGTGTTCCATGTTGCAAGTTATAACCTTCACTAAAAATGTGTAGTGTTCCATGTTGAAAGTTACAACCTTCACTAAAAGGTGTAATGTTCCATGTTGCAAGTTACAACCTTCATTAAAATGTGTAGTGCTCTATGTTGCAAGTTACAACCTTTACTAAAATGTGTAGTGTTCCATGTTGCAAGTTACAACCTTCATTAAAATGTGTAGTGTTCCATGTTGCAAGTTACAACCTTCATTAAAATGTGTAGTGTTCCATGTTGCAATTTCACACCATTCAGTATTACCAACTTTACGATTCCAAACATTTCTCTCCTACAGCTGCAGTGGCGCCACCGCAGTATGAGCTTATTTCTTTCAATTCCACCACCATGACATTTAATTTGGACAGCTGGAATGACGGAGGTTGTCCAATACGTCACTTTCTGCTTCAGTACAAGTCCCAAGGTCAGGTCGAGTGGACAGTGGTCGGTTCTCAACTGTATCCTGAACAAGGGACAGTAGTTATTACCGACCTGAAGCCAGGAACGTGGTACCTGATTCTTATGGCTGCTGTTAATAGTGCCGGAGTCACGGAGGAAGAATACAGGGCCGCAACACTAACACTCTCTGGTGGTAAGATCAGTTATCTTTGAAATCAGTTTATTTACGAAGATTTAAAAAAGCAAATTTATATAGATTATATTTATCAGTGATTGTTTATATCTTTGAGTACCTATATAGATTGTATTTATCAGTGATTGTTTATGTCTTTGAGTACCTATATAGATTGTATTTATCAGTGATTGTTTATATCTTTTAGTACCTATATAGATCATATTTATCAGTGATTGTTTATATCTTTCAGTACCTACATAGATTATATTTATCAGTGATTGTTTATATCTTTGAGTACCTTTACAGATTGTATTTATCAGTAATTGTTTATATCTTTGAGAACCTATATAGATCATATTTATCAGTGATTGTTTATATCTTTGAGTACCTATGTAGATTATATTTATCAGTGATTGTTTATATCTTTGAGTACCTATATAGATTATATTTATCAGTGATTGTTTATATCTTTGAGTACCTATATAGATTGTATTTATCAGTGATTGTTTATAATTAAAACATTCACTGTTAAAACAATGGATAAAACGATACAAAGATTAAAACATTCACTGTTAAAACAATGGATAAAACGATACAAAGATTAAAACATTCACTATTAAAACAATGGATAAAACGATACAAAGATTAAAACATTCACTGTTAAAACAATGGATAAAACGATACAAAGATTAAAACATTGACTGTTAAGACCATTGATAAAACGATACAAAGATTAAAACCCTCACAGTTAAAACAATGGATAAAACGATACAAAGATATAAACATTGACTGTTAAAACCATCGATAAAACGATACAAAGAACAAACCCCTCATTGTTAAAACAATCAATAAAACACACAAAGAATAAAACCCTCATTGTTAAAATAATCAATAAAATCTCACAAAGATCAAAACCCTTACTGCTAAATCATTGTTAAAAATTCGAAAAACCTCACAAAGGTCAAAGCACCCACTGCTAAATCATTGTTAAAAGATCGATAAGCCACACGAAGACCAAATCTTTCACTGTTAAAACAATCGATAAAACCACACAAAGACCAAACCCTCTGTTGATGGCAATTGATAAAACCACAAGAAAATAAAAACTTTCGCTGTTAAGTGATTTCTGAAACCACACAAGCATACAAAATCCACCTAATAAATACAATCTATATAGGTACTCAAAGATATAAACAATCACTGATAAATATAATCTATATAGGTACTCAAAGATATAAACAATCACTGATAAATACAATCTATATAGGTACTCAAAGACAAAGATTAAAATATTCACTATTAAAACAATAGATAAAACGATACAAAGTATCGTTTTATCCATTGTTTTAACAGTGAATGTTTTAATCTTTGTATCGTTTTATCTATTGTTTTAATAATGAATTTTTTAATCTTTGTATCGTTTTATCCATTGTTTTAACAGTGAGGGTTTAATCTTTGTATCGTTTTATCCACTGTTTTCAGAGTCAATGTTATTGTTTCTGTTAATAGGTTAGAGTTTTCTTGCTAGTTCATGAACATCAAGAATGTGGATGACCATTATGTAAAAATTTCTACCAGAGGAGCCGCTAAAAATCTACAATAACAATTGATAATACACAGTCTTGATTATAAGAAATGGACAAATTACAAACACAAAATTCTGTGATAAGTCTCTCTTAGGTTGTCAGTTTCGTGCCCTCGCTGGTAGCGGTGTTTTCGGCCCTTATCCCAAGAACACCATTTGGTCCTTCTTAGCAAAATACTAAGCCCTGAAACAGAATTTTCACATATAAAGCTTCATAAGCTAAGCCTATCACATAATTATTAATATTAAATCTGTCTAATAATACAAATAACTAAAATACACATTGAATTAACTCCGTTTAATAATCTAAATACATTTAGTAAGTTAATAAATGTTTCAGGAATAGATGTAACTAACACCAATTCTTTGCTTTCTCAGCCACCATGCTGCCCCCTGGTGACACAAGCCCACAGAGTAGATATCGAAGCCTGTATATTATCGTACCTGTTTGTTGTGCTACTGTCGTTCTAATCGCCATCACTCTTGCACTTTTCTTCATCTTGTGTCGTCGTCGAACTTCAACGTCTTCCAACACTTACGAAGGTAGGATCTCACGTGGAATGTATTTAGATGAATAGTCTGTTTCATGAGTAACAAACACCTCGTTATAAGTGAGAGTAAAGTATAAAAAACTAACTAACTCAGAAGAAGATCTTTTAAAAACTGGAGTTTTGAATTCCGTTAATGAATTTTATCAACAGAAAAAGAAAGACAACTAAACACTTTGTAGTTGTAAGCTTACATAAACTCCAGTGTCAGCTTTAATATTCTGAAAAAAATACGATATAAAAAGATAATATTGAGTTTATCACAATAAAAAATTCCGTCATTTTGTTTCAATGTGTCTTAATTTCTGGATCAGAGCTATTAACAGAATCACTTAACCTCTGCTTATCTCGCCTGTTTAAGGTTTTTGTAGCTTCACTTTGTCTTATCTTCTTTAACTGATAGAAATATCATAACCAGTTAAGGTTAACAGGGCTACTTTATCCCTGGTTTATCTCGTCTGTTTAAGGTTTCTGTAGCTTCACTGTGTTTTATCTTCTTTAACTGATAGAAATATCATAACCAGTTAAGATTAACAAGGCTACTTTATCCCTGGTTTATCTCGTCTGTTTAAGGTTTCTGTAGCTTCACTGTGTTTTATCTTCGTTAACTGATAGAAATATCATGACCAGATAAGGTTAACAAGGCTACTTTATCCCTGGTTTATCGCGTCTGTTTAGGTTACTCAAGCTTCACTGTGTTTTATCTTCGTTAACTGATAGAAATATCATGACCAGATAAGGTTAACAAGGCTACTTTAGCCCTGGTTTATCGCGTCTGTTTGAGGTTACTCAAGCTTCACTTATCTTCTTTAACTGATAGAAATATCATAACCAGTTAAGGTTAACAAGGCTACTTTATCCCTGGTTTATCTCGTCTGTTTAAGGTTTTCCTAGCTTCACTGTGTTTTATCTTCGTTAACTGATAGAAATATCATGACCAGATAAGGTTAACAAGGCTACTTTAGCCCTGGTTTATCGCGTCTGTTTGAGGTTACTCAAGCTTCACTGTGTTTTATCTTCGTTAACTGATAGAAATATCATGACCATATAAGGTTAACAAGGCTACGTTAGCCCTGGTTTATCTCGTCTGTTTACAGTTTCTGTTGTTCTGCTCAATGTGTCTAAACTTTTCCAACAGATTATAAAATCTTGACTTCCTCGGGTTATTTATCTTTAAGGTTTATATTGTTTCGCGATGCTTCAGTTGATCATTGTAGCCTTCAGCTCGTTTCTATTCTATACGTATCTTAGATAAAGAAAATGCTTTAAAAATGTTATTTAAACTGATCAGTAATCGTAAACCGTTGAAAGTTTCAAGAAGGCCCGGCATGGCTCGCAATCTGAGGGTCGCGGGTTCGAATCCCCGTCCCATCAAACATGTTCTCCCTTTCAGCCGTTGGGGCGTTATAATGTGATGGTCAATCCCACTATTCGTTGGTAAAAGAGTAGCCCAAGAGTTGGCGGTGGGTAATGATGACTAGCTGCCTTCCTTTTAGTCTTTCAATGCCAAGTTAGGGACGGCTAGCGCAAATAACCCTCGTGTAGCTTTGCGCGAAATTCAAACAAACCAATAAGTTTCAATAAATTAATTTTTTTGTCGTTTTCTTAAACCTGTTCACACAACTTCACTTTTACTATGTTTTTTGAATAATTCCGAAGGGGTTCGGAGCATAGATGACCCCAAGGGAGACGTGATTGCCATGACAGATCTGGAAAAGCAGTATGGTGACGTCACGGAGTCTGCGTACTTCCCTTCGCCTTACGCCACTACTCGCGTCCCTGTCTTTCCTCGCGAAGTAATGTCTCGAGATGGCGCCCCAGGTTGTCGTAGTCTTGTCCGGTCTACCACCAGAGGTCACGACAATAATTATGACGTACCACAGCCGGTAAGTTTTGTTTATTGACGATACAAAGACGTTTCAAACGAGAAATTAAATACAGTATTGGAAAACTAATAGGCCTAACATAGTTTTAAAGAAAAGTTAACTACAGATGTCACCTTTTATGTTTGGAAAACTAATAGGCCTAACATAGTTTTAAAGAAAAGTTAACTACAGATGTCACCTTTTATGTGTTCCTTTTAATTTGTCCATGACAAACAGTATCTCAGATCTATAAATGTTTCGTTCAGTACCAAAGTTCATCAGTTCTAGTGGACGACGAATTACTAAACGAAACTATATTTATATATGCATCACAATATTACAAATTTTACGGTTTAAACGCCCGAATACGGCGAAGTATTGGAAAATCAATAGGCCTAAGGTTGTTATAATATTCAATTAACTGTTTTTTGTTATATTATCGGGCAATGATTTGGGCGAGACAAACAGATCTGTTTATTACACAACTCTAGATACAGAAACGTGACAAAACGTCTGTAGTTAACTTGCTATAACAATTTTAGGTCTATTGGTTTACCAATATTTCGTCGGCTTTTGGCGTTTAAACCGTAGAATACAAAATATTTTATTTATTTTATTTTATTTTACTGTCGAAAAGTTGTAATTCAATTTCAGTTACCTACATTTGGGTGACAGACGACGTTTAGAATTGTTGACATCATTATGTTGGAGTATGTTTGTAAGATAAGATAAGGACTACTGACAAAAACGGAGTCTGGTTAAAAATATTTGTAAGATAAGATAAGAGCTACTGACAAAAACGGAGTCTGGTTAAAAATATTTGTAAGATAAGATAAGAGCTACTGACAAAAACGGAGTCTGGTTAAAAATAT